TCTCTTCTGTGAGATACTGTGTATATATATATATATATATACACACACACACACACACACAGTATTAGCTTACTATTTTTCCTACTGTTACTATTAAAAGTCTCTGATTTTTATATAGCTTTATGAAGGAGCTTTATTTTTTATCAGTGGGTTATAAACGATTTGTGTAAATCATTCATAAAACCATTCTTACATAATCTGTTGCATTTGATTCAATGTGGCAATTTAGATAAAAACAAATTTATGAATGATTCAGAACTACACATTCTTGCATAAAGCACAAAATCTTGTATTGACAAACACTTCCAAAAAAAAAAACCCTGAACGTTGGATTTTTGTTTTATGCTTCTCCAGGTTGAAAGGAACGGATAATCGATAATTGGAAGAATTAGTGGGGTGATTCTTATCCTGCTGTACAGCGAAACCCCTTCACTGTATTTTAATGTACCATAGAACACACATCTCCCATTTTAACCTCCACATTGTGCTGTTCAGATCCTCTGTACTCTGAACCAACTCTACTATTACCTCTGTTCACTTACTCATAGAGCTGGACGCTCAAAGCTGCGGGTGGACTGCACATTTATGCTTTCAGGTTTGCCATTTTTTAAAAGAGAACTTAGTTCTCAAACTCATTTTACACCATTCTTTCATAACGGACTTCTTAGTATCCTCTAATCGTTGCTCCGGTTAAAGCTCAATTTACACTTTTAAAACCAGTCCAAAATGTGCAGCAACAACATCAGCCCTTTGTGATGTGTAGCTCTATAGCAGTGTGTGTTGCTCAGAAGAGCTTTGTTGGGTCATTAGATCCTCTCAGTTGTCCTAAGTGTGTGTCCTGGTTCTCCGTATCTCATAGCACTTACTTGACAGACTGAAAATCATTTGAAATTTAGGTTCTTCTAAAAAAAGTGGCGCACGCATAGACCCATGCACTCCTCCCGTTTTAACACTGCGCTACTCTTTGCAAGAGGCACCTGTATGTTCTCATTAGAACCTCATTGGATATGATTTGTGGAGTGTTCGTTCATGTGTCTCATGTGAAAAGTTTATATAGTGTAAATCAGTGATAATACATGTTAAAACAGTTGGTAATAGTACTAGTCTAGTCTAGTACTGCATAGTGGAGATGATGTTATGTGAGGGAGTGAGTGCAGATATGTTCCTGTTCTACCTGGTGCTGAAGTTCTTATGAGTGTGTGTGTCTTTGAGATTGTGTGTTTGCTGAATTCACCGTGTACGTCTGAATGCATGTTGGGTGTTTGTTAGGATGCAGTGTGCTTGAGATTAGACTATTCATGGCTCCTTCGAGCACATATTGGAACTTCCAAGTGGCTAATAAAAAACAGCAAGTTTCTCTTTACATCACAATCTTCTTCTTCCTTATTATCAGATAATGTTTGTGGGAACACTACAAAAAGTTTGTTTGTTAACATTAGATGTAATAATCTAAAAAAAAAAAAAAACAACATTACTATTGTTCATTGTTGATTTATTCCCATTTATAATGCATTATTTATAAAACTTGAAAATCTAAAAATGTATTAGTCTATGTAGAAATTCACACAAAATTCGTAAAATTATTTTCCATTGTTAGTTCATGATACCTAATACATTAACTAATGTTAACAAATTGAGTCTAATTGTGATGTGTTACCATATTTGCATTATCTTGTACCTTTTAATGTAATTTTCCTGTCTGCTACTATTGATTACGGGTCAGGGCTCAAGTAGATTTCAGTTTCACCTCAGGAACCAATCATTTGTGGATATTTCAAGTACAGTTTAGTTGATCACAAAACCATTTTCCACTGTCATATTTTTTTTATTTCCATATAGCCAAGAAGCTGTTTATAGTCTGGTCTTTTTTTTGTCATACTGAAAGAAACATTTATGAAATGTTAATTGATTCTTCGTATTGTAAATCACACTAAAGCATTTGATTTCCTACTGAATCCTGTGCCACTTTACTCTTTCATTTTGATTCTTCTTTTTTAAGGTCTTGCTACCTAATGGCCTTCCCATAATTCCTATAATAAAAGTGCACTTGATAAGACTAAAAACCCCACCTGCTAAACCATGAAATGTACTTTCAGGAAACAAATTATCTGTTTATTTTTAAGGCACATTACAGTTATATGCTAAGCAGAGATGGAATTATTCCATGAAAACAATACTTTTAGCTTTTATGTTAAAAACCTATATTATGTACATTGTAGACAACCTTGGGTATTGTACACTTTCTGGTCTTAAAAAGTAGCCATCCATAATTCATGATCCTAAATAAAATTTGCACTTTTAAAGTCCACCGTTTTTCACAATTAGTAATAATTTTGTCCTTTTGCATCATGTGTCCTGGTACACAACAAAATCTTCTCTTCAAACGGAATTCCCAAGAGGCTGCAGTCTGACAGCATTTATATTCCACACTGAAGGGGATCTGATGTTTATATATAACAGAGAACAAGTAGTTTTGGTGCAGGTGTCTTATATCCAGCTGTTGTGGTTCCTCAGTGAGACGGCTTGCTCATAATGAGGACAAAAAACTGTAGTCCAAACTTCTGCCCAGGAGTGACTCCCCACTTCCAATTCATAAGATAGTCTTATATAAAAACTATGGAAGCTGCATAGAAGCTTATGGCTGTATTTGCGCAATTTGCAAGGTCCATAGATGTCCATGGGATATCGAAGGAGTTCAGTTGCCTTAATTCAGCATCTTACCAAACCCTTTAGCAGGGTGTGGAGTAGTACCCTGACATGGGTGAGGCCATAACATCCACATCACCCTTATCAGCTTAAGTGTATACACAATATAAATAGAAACTTCCCACGAAGTTAAGACATAAACCCTTGAAGTTCTTGAAGGTCTTTTTGCATAAGACTTTAAAGTAATACTAAAAAATAGTGGTAGAAAAAGTCCCCCTGAGAACCTTGAAGGATTCACATATCGCTTCACATTGCAGCTGTAGCAATTTTCATGGTGTCCAGCAGGTTGCGCTTTCTTGCTTTGCCGCTGACTATTGTCTCCAGGTGAGACTCGGGGGCCCAACCACGTTGTCTGTCTGACAGACGAGTTCCTTCCACCCAGCCTGAATAAAAAGTAGAGAATCTTGAATGGGTTTTTGCACTTCAAAAAAGCTGTCAAAGCTGTCAAAACATCCATTAGCAATTCTTGAATTCAGCTTGTGACATAACAACATTAGTATCTACTTGTTTTGTTGACTAGGAACATGTTGAACTGTTTCTCAGAACAGACATATGCTCAGTGGAGTTCATTTATCAGTACTATGAGGAAACCTCATTAGAAATACAACCGTATACAGTATGTGGGAAAATATGCCTGTTTACATAAACATTGGCAACTAGGAGTGAAATGCCCTAGTCATGAAAGCATGGTTATCAATCTTAAAAAACCTCTATGTGTGCATTGTTAATAATACTGATTCAAATAAGGAATACAGAGTCTATCCAGGTGCAGCTTGAACAACCATCCCGAATATTGTTCTTAACCTTGAAAGAGTCACATGAATTTCACATCTGATGACAGAAGAACCCTCTAGGGCAAGTGACAAAGCGTCTTGATTCAGAGCCAAATCCAACTGCTTCTGACTTTTCCCATACATTCTACAACGGTAGTGTCCAATCCTGCTCCTGGAGGGCCACCTTCCAGCAGAGTTTAGCTCCAGCCCTAATTAAGCACACCAAAACTAGCTAATCTAGGTCTTCAGGATCACAAGAAACTTCCAGTGAAGTGTGTTGGAATAAGAAGGTGGCCCTCCAGGAGCAGGTTTGGACACCCCTGTTCTACAGACCTAGAACAGGGTTCCCAACCCTGGACCTGGAAAATCCCCAACACTGAACATTTTATAAGTCTCCCTAATCAAACATGCTTGATTCAACTCTTTAGTGCACTAGTAGACACTCCAAGACCTGAAATTATGTACTTCTGGGGTTACCAAGGACCAAGGTTGTTAAACACTGACTTGGGGTACGTTTACACAGCAATGACTGTATTAAAAACGGAAACGTTTTTCCCTTGCGTTTCTGAAAAGTTTCACATACGGGCATGAACGTTGTCAAAACAATTGCCCATTTACACGAATCTGCAAACATGACTAAAAACGCTGTATTATGCATGCCAGGCCAATAGTTGATGATGCCACTTTATCAAGAAACACTACGCGCCTGTATGCATACACATTCCTGTAGACTGAACACGTTATGTAAGTTTGCATTTTCAGGCACACAAAACAATGTTGTCATGTAAATGAATGGCCAAATGTTTTCCATTTTTAGTTGAAAAAGGTGACGTATAAACACCCCCTTAGATGACTTAAAGCAGGGTTCCTCAAATCTTGCCCTGGAGGGTCAATGCCTTGCAGAGTTTAGCTCCAACCCTGATCAAACACACCACTAATGCGCTCTAGTTATTAGGCGTATTCGACTTGAAGCTGCGCTGCGCAGAACGATCAGTGTATGACATCAAAGTACCGCAAGAGTGATTTGAAAGCACAAGGAGCCGTCTGGTCTCTTATCGCTCTTGCAGTACTTTGATGTCATACACCTGATAGGTCTGCACAGCGCTGCTTCAAGCCGAACCAAAGTCTCTTTATGACAACTCATGTCACTCGGCGGCCATCTTTGAAACGCCTCTCGGGCATGCAAGTGCAGCTCCTATCTCTTTGTATGGGGAAACATCAAATTCTCCAAAACTGTTCACTAAGCTTACGATTAAATTTCATATTTGAAATCACCAAAGAAATCTGACAACAACTGTGTCATAAGCCCTATTCGCACGGGATTAGTATAACCTGGTGACCTCCAGTCATTTGTAATAATTATCGCTACACCATACAATTTGCAGAAAGAGAAAGCTGAAAAGGTTTTGAGGTTAATGTGTTACAAATAAATCAAGCATAAAGCTTGAGATATTATTTTAACCTGGTGAAATGTAAATGACACAGCGCACGAAACTATATTAGTTTCTTTTTTTTTAAATCCATCTGGACCATAGAACGGGACTCTCAAAGCCTTTACATCCGGGTATCCAGGAGATAAGTCAGTAAATTCGAGCAAAATCACAGGCTTCGCTTATCCCGTGCGAATGCACCACACGAAATTCAGATGTGGGGGTGTAATTTCAAAATCACACAAGGTCCGCAGATAATACTAATCCCGTGCGAATAGGGCTATAAATGTTGTTTCTTTTGCTCAAATAGCGTTATAAAAAGCTTATTTTTCAGGCTAGATCAGTCCTAGTGCATGCGCAGTCCTAAGTGCGCGTCTCAGAATGCTGACTGTTCTAAAACAACCCGGACTTCTAACGGCAGCTGCAGTGACGCGCTGACTTTACCGATTAGCGATTGGCTCTTTCATTCAGAAGGCGGGGCTTTCTGCGATTGAGCGGCCATATTGAGTGTTGCATTTTTCCCCATTCAAAACTATACGAGTGACATGTCTTGGGTATTCTATAGTCTTTGGCCGAACACAACTCTTATAGTGTTAGGGGAGAGGCCATGCTCAGTGGCTCCAGTGAACGCAAAAATGGTGAAAAAACTTTTTTTTAACGGTCTACCTCCACAATTCAGAACTACATCGTTCACAGTCTTTGTAACGTGTTTTCAGCAATACATTTCTAACTTTTTTAATGTGTTTAGAAACAATTCTCTGAATTTCCTTTACACAGACTTTGTGTGCAATAATCTGCTGTGGAAAAGACATTCAATTCAACTGGTGGAGCAGGGAAACAGACAAGACTAATGGACAGAAATTTGTCTCTCAAACACAGGTACAAAACAACAATGCCACAAAAACACCAGCTCCTGTGTGGTGGACTGGGACACTTTCTGATACGTCACTCTTCACCTTTACCTACCTCTTCACCCTTAAAAAGAACTCATCTACCAGGTCTCAAATCTTCTCACCATTACTCTTCTTCCATAGTCTGTTTTTGCCAATCAGGTGAGGTAAGAAGCAATGAACCTTTGCCAATGTTGTGGGGACTAATGGAAGCATCTCAAGCATTCTAAAACCATTCACTGTACTGCAATCTTGAAGTCTTTAGTAGATGTTCTAAGTATAACTAAGCCAAAAAAAGTTGCTCTAAATTTGTGGACTGCAGAAGTCCCCGCTGATCCAACTGGACCAACTGGAGTTTCCTTACCATTTACACAGGTATGGATGATGTCATGACTCATGATCTACAGTACATGCAACACAGAACTCACTTCAACTTTAAAGGGGTCATATGATGCGATTTCAAGTTTTCCTTTCTCTTTGGAGTGTTACAAGCTATTGGTGCATAAAGAAGATCTGTAAAGTTGCAAAGACTAAAGTCTCAAATATGACAGTTTTTTGAACCTAGAAGAGTACAAGGCTGGCTGTGCACAAAGGCTATTTCTAAAAAAAAAATGTAAAAAAAAGGGTCAATTCCGACTTTGCTATGACAATCTGGCACTTATGAATCAGCGACTGTAAGTATGTTTTGATATCAGTTTAAGTATTTGCTATTGACTGTTCAAATGCAGAGTTTTGCGCAGCGCAGAGTAACGCGTCGTGTGTGTGTGTGTGTGTGTGCGTGTGTGTGAGGGGAACAGGGTCACATCACAGGAGAGTGAACTGCCTGT